AAATAACATAGTGGGTAGTAGAATCATCTCAATCAATTCCTAACACCAGCTTCACACCAACTCAATCATCGGTGGTGGTAGAATTTACTTCTTCAACATCATTTTCCTATATCATTAAAAGAAAAAAAAATTGATTCTTCCAAAGAGAAATTTTCAACTAAAAAAAGATATACCTCATCATCAATATCGAGATCCTCCAATAATGTGTAGCTCTTCAAGTCCGTCGAAGTAGATGAACCTAAAAAAAAAAAATAATGTATTAGTCATACTTTACCCGCCTAAAAAAATTAGGATACACATATAAATAATATTTTATTACCTCGTTCTTCAGCACATAACCAACTTTGAAAATACATTAAAGCCTCTACTGTAGTTAGAAGAAGTCTATTGCAATGTGGACTGATCACCCTCCCACTTGTGCTAAAAGCAGATTCCGAGACAACGGTAGAAACAGCAATAACAAAAAGATCTTTAGCAATCAATTGAAGCAGGGGATACTTGGGACCACTTGTCTTCCAAAAAGATAATATATCAAAATCTGAACTTCTTAGCATCATACCATCTTCTAAATAACGATCCAACTCAGACCTCCCATATGCTTTTGTTATGACTCTTGTTTGTATAAACTTATCAAAATCAGAGAGATCATTAATTAATGGACATTTGGAATCAATATCTGATTTAAGAGGAGGAGAAGAAGGAGAAAGTTGTGGTTCATAATCACTTCCTTGCCTTACTTTATATTCGCGTACCAATTCCATGCAAAACTCCTTAATCCTCTTCACTTCATTTAAAACTTTCACACCTCCATACATTTTCTCATAGTAATACTCCAAAATTCTCAACTTATACCGTGGATCTAAAACAGTAGCTATTCCCAAAACACCATCAATCACACTTCAATATTTGTTAAACTTTTCCAACATATTCATGACCATATTTTTTATCACGTCTTTGAGACTTTGAAACCACTTAGATATTTCTACTTTTATCCCACAAATAGTTGGAAAATATACATTGGCAGTAAGATACTTTGTACATGAAACCAATTTTGTTGCAGTAAGAAAAATTTCAATTTTTCACAAATCTCTCTTGCCACCTCCCAATCATCTTCAGTCGGACAAATCTTGTAATGCGAATCTCAATATTTCAAGCAAGCAAACACATCTCTATAAATCAAACTAGTTTGAAGCAAGAGAAAAATAAAGTTTCATCGAGTCTTAACATCAAAAGCAAACTTCTTGTTACTTGAAGTATGTATCTGATGAGTTGCCTTCTTCAAATTTTTGCACTCTCTTGGGAGATGTTATTCAATAAGCAACACTATCACGAATTCTTTCAATACCATCTCCATTCACATTCAAACCATCTTGAACAATTAAGTTGAGAATATGTGCACAACAACGCATATAGAACAACCGACCATGCAATATTAGTGAACCAAATGGAAGTTTATCCAACAAAATAGTCACAATTACATCATTAGTGGTACAATTATCCACAGTCAATGTGATCAACTTTCTATCAAGGTTCTAATCGAAAAACCAATCCATCAAACACTCCACAAGCACTTCCTTGGTATATGGATAAGGCACGTATAAAAATCTAAAGATAAAAAATAACACATGTTAATAGAAGATCATTAGTACTCTATAATAAATAACACATGCTAATGAAAGATCATTAGTACCTTATAATCCGACTTTACAATGTCCAAAAATTGTCAATAAAGTGTGTGGTGATTGCCATATATCCCTTTCTTTGATTGTTTGAGGACCACATGTCCATAGTAATAGCAACTCTACTTTTTGTCTTTTCCAACAATTTCATTGTCTTCTCCTTTTCGGCTTTGTAAATTTGAAGGATATTATTTCTAAGATTGTTCCGGAATATCATTTTGAACATTGGTTGAAGAGTGTGGCAATATTTTTGAAATCCGTGATGCTCAAACATACTAAAAGGGTATTCATGCAATATAATTATATTGGCAAAATCCCTTCTCCCCGTCTCTTGAACAAATCGTCAGTTCTCCATCGTTTTCTCAGTATCCTTCTTTAATTGGTTTGATACCACTAAATATTGTTTCAAATTTTTATATTTCTTCCTCGGACAACTTTTAAGATAGTCATGCAAGTGGGGTAGTTCCATTCTTAGCACCACCAACAAGCAATTTCTTACATTCATTGCACCCAGCCTTTAACTTCCCATCAATTGTTTTCCTCTTGAAATGATTTAATACAATTTATTTATGCCTATCTGTTTCACCAAGAGTCATTGGAGTTGAGTTGGTAGATTGATTTTCATCAATAGAGATTGAAAGTTGGTTGCTTTCACCCAGTGTTGCAGAAGTTTGAGGAGTTGAAATATTATTTTTCACTTCTTCTCCTTTCATTCCTACTTAATCAACCAAGCAATATAAATAATCAAACAAAAATGAGCATGCAAAGCAAACTAGCAATTAAATAGCATACCGATTTCTGCATGAAAGGGGAAGAACAGATAGAGGAGATCCAGCAGCCTCAAGATACAAGCAACCTATAGGCAGGTTATAATGAAAAAGTGTCTGCGCTAATACATGGGTGAAAGTACAAAAGAACATGAAAAACAAAAAGATGTGAAACATACAAAGTTGTTGAGGCCAGGAAAAGGGTCCAGAACAGGCTGTATCAAGAGGAGACTAAAAAACCTACACTGAAGGAGAGTATTGTCGTAAAGGCTAAACAATGGAGAAGGAAGACAGCAGGACACCAATACACTTGAAAGAATGATCTTAAGTGGTAAACATCTAACTTAGTAGAATTTAATTACGGCTCAGCACAATATTTCTTACGAATGTCCTTCTGTGGATCATCAAATGGTAGGTAAACTCAAGAAGCAAAGAGGGAATAAAGATAATTCTAAGAAAACAAGAGCCAGATTTAAATTCCAAAATTAACTATCAAAATTGGTCCATTGCCATCCTAGATGTGAGCAAAATAAAATTCAAAACTGATGCACATTTTGATCATTTTATATACCAGATCCAACAAGAACGTATGGAGACACTTAATTAAACCAAGAGAAGTCAGTCACAAGCTCAAACCATTACAGACCAAACAGGCACACCACAATGAAGCATCAAAGACATGAATTGTATATAAACATGAGTGTCTATATCTATATATCTATATATAAACATGTCTATCCATGTTTAAATGAAACATTCCAGTGGAAAATATTCATTTGATCTTCACCTACCACACCAATGTCCGAAAAATCGGTGAAATGTGTAAAGGAGGAAGGCCCAAATCAGCGATCAGTGATGTTCTCGAGCAGAGAATAAGTGGAGGCGGGTGGCTGATACTTGATAGAATAAGTTAGGGCTATTGCTTTTAACTGAGAGTATATATATATAACGGGTAACGGGGATTGGGCGAAAGTAAGGATAAGTCCATCCCCGCACGGGTTTATATAAGTATCCTCGTATACGTCCATTTTCAGTCCAAACAGAACAGATTTTGACAAATACACATTTTTCTCCGGTCCACTATCATCCATAATTAGAATGCTGGGCTGCATTCTAATTTGACTGGGAAACCCAGAGCATACTAGGCTGCATCAAAGGCCCACGACCTATTTATGAAGTGGACTGGGCCAGCTTGTGATCCGATGGACCACTCGATTTGTTGGACCAGGACAATCCCCAAATATCTTCTCACTCCTAGGCAACATTCACTTCTATCCATCTCTCTCTCTCTCTCTCTCACACACACACACACACTCAATGCCGACCCAACCATTAGGCCATTGCCTAGGCCCGCAAATGAGAAAAAAAAAAATTAGCCCCCAAAAATAAAATAAACAATGAGATATAATTAAAATTTTAGAATATAATTTAATTACTCAATATATTTTAATCATTGAATTAATAGTGAGTGCTAGCTTTAAACAAAATTTACTATTTTATCTAATGTACTTGGTCCTCAAATTAAGTGCAAGTAGCATTATTGTAAAATTTTTAAAACCTCTTTCAAAAAAATTTATGGCCTATAGCTCAACTTATTTTTTTATCTTACTCGATATTTATATTATACTAGTTGATGCACACGTGGCCTATAACAATTCATATTAGAGATTTTTGTAGTTTTTTTTTCTTCATAAAAAAAAATTGTATGTTGTTGACGGGAAGAATTGACATTGCATCTGAAAGGGGAAATTTGTCAAAATCCCATTAAACAAGTGCAAGGCAGCAAAGTCCAATGCACTTATTGACCAAAAAACATTGTAAATGCATAGGAAGCAAATAGTAACAAGGCTATTTGTCCACTTACCAAGAAAAAAGAAAAAAAAAACAAAGGTTATTTGTCCACTACAGAAACACTTGTCCAAACTCATTAACCAGAGGAAATCAATAATTATATTAGTATTGTATTATCAATGGACTAATAGGTTCCAAATCAATGCCATTTTTTTTTTATTTCTTGAAATATTTGGAACTTTTACGGATGGCAATTGTAAGCACAATGATTGGAACTTTTTCAAAGACCTGCCCTTCCATTTGTTAAACTGTTATTGTACCCATAGAAGCCATGGAATCTGTTGTAAGGATATTCCACAATAGCTCTTGAATGAAGTCCAGGTTTTCTGCGAATAAGAACAATGGCAGGAAAAAATTTTAAAAGTTGTATTGCCATATTGTTATTTTTAAAAGAACAATGAAATAAGTTTGTACTAAATGTATTTTAAATTGGTCTAACAAAAAGAGTTCAAGGGATCTAATTAATTTCATTGACTTGCACAATCACGTAATCATAATCTTTTCTTTGGACAAAGAGTTCCACTACAATTCAAACATATGTTCCCAAAATGAATGCTACCAAAGAAAGAATAAAATTAATTTTAACAGTGCAGCAAATCAAACATATGGCCCTACGAACGCCCTAAAACCCATCCTGGACGGTATTACAAATTAAAAATCATTCACATCATGAGAACAACTAAATAATTCATCCATAAAAAATTTCATTCATCAAATATATCATTTACAATATCATCCCAAAAGAATAGGTCAACCATGACCACTATATCCAAAAGAATTTGTCAAGCTATAACAATTACATCCAAAAGAATTACATTTAAACTTAGGAGCGGAATAAACAAAAAATTATATTATACATGATCGTAAATAAATTCTCTAGTTTAGCACAAAAATAAACTATAACTCTAGACGTCCACCTCGGGATCCACGAACCCGTCTAGTGGAGCTTCCAAATGTGTCGGTTCCTCAATTCCCAAATCTTCCTCTAGTACATAATCTGAAAAATATAGTTTGTAAGGGGGTGAGCACTAAGCTCTGTAGTAACATTCCTCCCCAAACTCGAACAAGGTTTAGAAAAACATATAAAAATGGTCGATCACCTTTCATAAATAGCATATATGAATTTCGAAAGAAAACCAGGACATTTAAACAGATCTCAAGTTTAAGCAACAGTAATAATTTAATGCATAAGTGAAACCAATATACAACTAATAATTCATTCCACCATAAACCGTTCCTCCCAAGTTCTTGCGGAATCCCAAACTTTCCAAAATTCTTGTAGAAACTATATCTGGTACAATGAACAATAACCCACCACTGTATTCGTATCTCTGGTATGAAGTCAGACCTCGCATGGATACCATCGAAAATATTATCGCCCATGTACAATCCACACAAATCCTCGCAAAGATATCCAACTTTTAGGAAGGGCGTATACCAACACCATGGCAGTGACGTATCCAACCAAAGAGTAATATACTAACCCTTTTTTCATGGTAACCCGTAAGCGATAATGGTTTAGTCCTCGTAAGACACTAACCTCATTACGAGTGGTAAGAAAAGTTTTAACCCACACGGAATAAGAAGACGTCTACACACTCCAACATACCTGGTCAATAGTAGCCCATATTTATCTAACAACCACACATGAGATACAATACCAACAATTTCCTCAAATAACAACAATTCCATAAATCTCCAATTTCACATGTAGTGTTTCAATAAAACAATTGAAGAAAATGCAAGAGATCATCATCAATATCATATTTTTTACTTAACACCAAGCACTAAAGTTTCAAAGTCAAGAATAAAAGAAAAATCAAAAAGAAAGTCCATCTCTTTTGAAAACTAGGGTTTTATATCAAGAAAATGAGATTTCATGGGTATTCAACCCTAACTTGTGTAAAACATGGTAATAATTGCAAAAAGACTAAGAAAACATGATTTCATAGCAAATATATAAGATTTAGAGTTAAAGAATACATATATATTAGCTCTAGCATCAATGGACAAGAATGGAAGAAAACCCCCTACCTTGCTTCCTTAGTTTTGAGCGAAGAAGATGAAGATTTGATCTTTCCAAAACTTGAATCACCCTTTAATCATTTGTTTTTCCCTTTCTTTCTTCCTCTCTAAGCTTTTCTAGGGTTAGAAGTGTTGAAATGGGACTTAAGGAGGTGTCCTTAGGTATTTATAGTGGAAGAAATGGTGTCTTGTGCGTAATTTTTAGAGTCAGAATTCGTAACTGACGTTCGAACGTCCTTAACTCCCAGTACTTTGGTTTTTCCATCAGACAAAAAGTATTGGAACGCACTGTCGTTCGAACATCATTAACGTTCGAACGTCATTCCTGTTTCTGCTGGAACTTCCAGTGCAGTTTTGGCCTATTTAGAGGTTAATTTGAAAAATTTACATGAAATAAACTTTTGTAGCTCTAGAAGTCTACTATCTACTGTCAAAATTTCAGATCAAACGAACATCAGGATAAAGAGTTATGATCCAATTATTAGGAAGTATCCAAAATCTTTTTTACCCAAATTCTCTCTCAAGTGTGCTTTCATTCCGGAGTACTTCCAAAATTCTACAACATACCCTATTACCTCAACTAGCCTTTTTATTTCTACTCTTATAATATACATAGTTCATGCATACATCATTACATATATTAGCATTTTAAAAACATAATTACGTGGTTATATCAAGATACGAATGTGGGGATTTACACATATCAAAGACATACAAAATTCAGTTTCAATCTCACAGCAGAACTTATTACTATATTATTCAATTTCTACTATATATAATGAATTAAAGCCCAAGCGTTTGAAGTGAGGAATGACTCCAAGTTTCAATTTAATCCCTGCAAAATGTTAAATGTCATGTTCAAACCGAGCACTTGAGAAGGTAAGAGGACTGAAGTTCTTACCCTTAATGTAAGACAAGGTCGCTCCGATGTATCACTGTCGAGCACTTACTGAATGGGCACACAAACACAAGGAGAGAGAAGTCTTCTTCTTTTTTTGTTTTTTCCCAGAACTTGCTCGTGCAGATTTTGAATTCTATAACTACGATTGGAAACATGAACTTTGATTAGAGGATGAATTTAAAATTGATGAATACGCAATAAAAATGTAGAAATCCATTACAATGCAGTTGAAACAACCAAAAAAAAGGGAACTCATGAACAACCTAGCAAAAAATGATACTTCACACAAACCAGTGATCACCCTGACTATCCCAACCAATTTCTCCAACAGTTCCTAACAACAATGAAAGCCAAAAATCTAATACGACTCGAATACTATACCCACATGAAATGATTCCCCTTGGAGAAAAACAACGTATGAAACCAAACAAATTCCTAAATTTCACATTACAAGCAGTTGTATTATTAAAATGATCAACCAAGGCAAAAAGATACTCTTTATATCCATCTCCTCAAAGCTTCATATTGCTAGAATTTTCATAGCATGTAACACAACCATAACATCAATTGGGAAAATCAACTTCTTAATCACCCTGTTCTATATGTGTAAAAATGAGGAAACAAAACACTTGCTCTAAGAGGTTATTAGCAAAGTTTAATCAACCAATCTAAATATGATCAGACAAATTATGAGAAAGTGTGGAAGGGTAACCAATGATGCAATCATAATAGGTCGGCTGGCCGTGATTTATTTGATCTCAAGAAAACAAAAAAGTTCTATAGTTGTTACCCTTGATGATTAGTTGCTGACTTGATAAGGGCCATCCTATTGGCATCCATTAGAACTGGAGATGTCTCTGAATCCATTGAATGAGGATGTTTCATATGCTCCTCGTACATTTTCATGGCCAATACACTGGCTGATGGCTGCCCCATCATTCCTTCAGAGTTCATAGCATTCATAGGACCACCAAGTGAAGGATGATTAGGATCCTTTTTTGCAACTGAGTATTGCGTTGCTGCATAAGTTGCAATTGCTGCATTTGCAGCTGTTGTTGATGCTCCCTTGCATTCACATGTTGTGTCTGATAGTAAATTATAAAACCAAAAAGAAAGTTGCCATAGATTAACTTCATCTCACTAAGAAAGGAAGGGGAAGGGGGGGAGAGAAGTCCTCCTATAAGACACTAA